CTCATCTAACCTGGCCTTGAACACCTCCAGGTATGAGGGAGCCACAGCTTCTCTAGGCAACCTTTTCCATTGTTTCACCAACTTCATTGCAATAAATGCCTTCCTTATATCTGATCAATATCCCCCCTCTTTCAGTTTAAATCCATTGCCCCTTGTCCTATCACTACACGCCCTTGTCAAAAGTCCCTCTCCAGCTTTCTTGTAGGCCCCCTTTAGGTGCTGGAAGGCTGCGATAAGGTCTCCCTGGAGCCTTCTCTTCTCCAGGCTGAACAAGCACAACTCTCTCAACCTGTCTTCATAGCAGAGGTGCCCTAGCCCTGGGATCATCTTCATGGCCCTCCTCTGGACTCGCTCCAACAGCTCCATGTCCTTGTTGTGTTGGTTCCCCAGAGCTGAACGCAGTACTGCAGGTGGGCTCTCACGAGAGCAGAGTAGAGGGGCAGAATCTCCTCCCTTGACCTGCTGGCCACATTCCTTTAGATGCAGCCCAGGATACAGTTGGCTTTCTGGGCTGCAAGGATGCATTGCCAGCTCATGTTGAGCTTCTCATCAACCAAAAATCCTAAGTCCTTCTCCTCAGGGCTGCTCTCAATCCATTCTCTGCCCAGCCTCTATTGGTGCTTGGGATTGCCCCAACCCACGTGCAGGACTTTGCACTTGGCCTTGTTGAACTTCATGAGGTTCTCACAGGTCCAACTCTCAAATGTGTCAAGGTCTCTCTGGACGGCATCCCTTCCCTCCAGCATGTCAACCACACCACACAGCTTGGTGTCGTCAGCAAACTTGCTGAGGGTGCACTTGATCCCACTGTCCATGTCGCTGACAAAGATGTTAAACAGCACTGACCCCTGAGGAATGACACTCATCACTGGTCTCTACTTGGACATTGACCCGTTGAACGCAACTCTTGGAGTGCACCATCCAGTCAATTCCTTATCCACTGAGTGGTCCATTCATCAAATCCATGTGTCTCTAGTTTAGAGACAAGGATGTTGTGCAGGACAATGTCAAATGTTTTGCACAAATGACCATCAAAAGCTTTTTCAGTCTGAAGCCAGCTAGCAAACAGTGAGACTCCTGCTCTCATCCTTTGGGGCAGGCATACAAATCCCTGCGTGGTGTGGTTAGGGTTGCTGTCTTGTGTTTCCTTGCCTGGTTAACCAGATTGGCTGGTTTTGCCAATATGTCCTCTGGAGAACAAGGATCCAGCTCAGAAACTGGGTGGGTTTGAATATTTTTCTACATTTTTTTTATGGGCTGTGGATGACTTCACCAGCGAAATGTCCCAACATGTTGTGGCTCTGTCCTCTTGCACTGTGGGTGAAGGGAGGTAAGGGAGAAACCTTTGCTCTATTGCTTCCCCAGAAGCTGTGCCTGGGCTTTTTGGACTTATTCTCTCTTAACGGTGTACAGGGGGCGTACAAGGTCCTGCAGCCTCAGGCAGCTCCATATTAGTGTAGGCTAATTGTTAGCCTAGCGAGGCTTGAAACTCGGGACTGTCCTCTAACAGATGAAGAAAAAGAGACACATGTGTGGGCATGATTGTCCCTCCAGCCTGTTTCTGGAGCTGTGTCTTAGTAACGTGGGGACAATGGGAGACAGTACTGCTGTGGCTGCCACCAGTGTGGGTGACTCTACCCAGCTGAGCATCCAGGCCATGCAATGACCCTGTGCACAGGGCTTCAACCTGACATGGTGACATGCACCTGACTACCGTCCATGACCTGGAGCATGCACATGGCCATATTCTTCCTCAGGTCTCTGCTTTGATTTGAGCCTCAGCTGCTCCCCATCTCTGCAGAGCTACAAGTGACGGCAGCAGGTGGGATGGGGGCTGCTCTGCTCCTCTCCAGCCAACCCAACCCCATAGAGCTGTTGCTGCAGCTAGGGGGTGGCTGATCCTTACCTGAGAGATGCTCCACTCTAGAGCTGGCTGCAGGACACAGTACCTGTGCTCTGCTGGGGGTAGGAGCCTGGGGAAAAAAAAAAACCAAACCAAAAAACCAGTGGATACAAGCAGAGCCCTGAGGAAGAACAGAGCAAACACGTATGATACACCTGTCTCTGTACTACTCTGTCAGCCTCAGCTACGTCAGTGTTGGGGCTCCCTGAGTAAGATGTGTTTTCACAGAGCTCGTGACCCCCAGTGAATCTCAAATAAATACGACCAGTTCCTCAAAGGGTGTCTGCACAGCAGGATATCTGCAAATGAGGCATTTAGTGAGACACATCAGTCGGATTTAGATTGCCAACACGAGCTGCTTCTCCAAGCTGAGCAGTTACATCCCAAAGGTCTCTGCCGAGGTTCCTGTTTTTGTCCAGAAAGTGTTTTGCTGTCTTCCCAGCAGCTGGGAGGGGAACCTTCGCCTCGCTGCTGCCATCCTCGAAGCCATAGTAACTGCGAGGGAGGAGGGCTGACAGCTGCAGCGCGTTGCCCGATCCCAGCAGGCTCCACCGGCTTCACCCTCGACCCAGGCACATGCTGTCCTTTTGGCTCCATGTCAAGTGTTTCATCACGGGAACAGGGTGCTCATCACAGCCTCAGCTGACCTCGCCATCGGAGGGTTTATCCTTAGCTCTGATCTCACTTCTTCTTTCTTAAAGCCATCATTGTCATTCTCCCCTGAGCAGCTCCTTCCATTTCAACTCCAGATAGGTCTGTATAAGGCTTTTCCCCAGCATCTCCTACTCAAACTGTGCACCCCTAGCCCTTTCCTTTCTTTGTCATACCTTCGCCACTTTTCTTACTTTTTCCAGAGCTTTCTGACCTGGGTTCTTCAGCTGTGATGTAAACCTGATTCATTAGTTTCAGGCTTTGATGACATACCTGTATGTTTGGGCTCTTAGAATGAGAGCAAATGGCCTCAAGTTGCTCCAGGGGAGGCTCAGATTGGATATTAGGAAAAATGTCTTCACCAAAAGGGTTGTCAAGCATTGGAACAGGCAGACTGGGGAAGTGGTTGAGTCACTAGAGACGTGTAGATGTGGTGCTTAGGGACATGATTTAGTGGTGGACTTGGTAGTGTTAGGTTAATGGTTGGACTCAACGATCTTAAGAGTCTTTTCCAACCTAAATGCTTCCATGAAACCCACTGGTATTTTCTGCCACAAACCTGCACAACAAATTGACATATGGTCTTTGTCCATGCTCTAGCCTAGATGGATGGATGTCTTCTGCTGAGCATCTTTATTTTGAACGTATACCCTTCTTCTCATCTTCCTGCCAATGCTATTTTCAGATTTGGATTTCTGATTTTTCTCACCTCACAAATTTCTCTGACATCACCAGCCTCTGCCTCACCTCACCGTAGAGTGCGACTACCATATTATCACCCTCTTCTGCTTCCGGAAACATGGACACGCTGCAGAAGACAGGTGCTTCAAGAACACCATGAAATCAAAATACAGGAATCAATATAGAAAGGATCTTGAGAGACCATCTAACCACCTCTCAGCCCTGGAGCAAGATCCTACCAACTTACATAATTCTCTAATAAGTATTTGTCTAGCCTGTTTTTCCAAGCCACCCAGAATGGAAGATCCACACCTTCCTAGGCAATCAGCTTCACTATGGTCACTGTTAGAAAATTACCCCGATGCCTAATGTAAGCCTCCTGTGATAGTTTTTTCCTATTTAGCCCTTGTTTTTGCAGATACATGTGATACGATTGGATGTCCCCTGAGCACTTTATTGTTTCTACATTCTCTCATAAGTCTCATTTTCCAGGCCTCTTTTTGCTGCAGATTGTGGCTCCTCCTTGCTACGCTTGGTTTAATTTCCAAAAACGCCCATGAAAAGGCTGCAGCTTCACACCCTCCCTCCACAAGAGGTGGGAAACAGGTGAGTTCAGTATAATTCAGTGGGGCTAGTGCAGTCATGTCATTCAGGGAAAATCCCGCAGGCACTTCAGTAATCATCTTAAATGAAAGGGCATGAAATGAAAATCACCAGAGACAGCAATCCACCCATCTGCCCATCTGCATCCGCAGACCCACATGCAGTTAAATGGCAGAATCGCCCTGATCTGAGTACCCCAGCCTGCCTGGGGACATGGTTTTATTCAGCCTGAGGTTTAAGACCAATGAGGAATGAATTTTGATCCTTAACTGGCTGCAGTCAGAAGTTTGACTTCATTATAACCCATCTACTGTGGCATGAGACCATTTCTGAGCTGAAAAGGAAATTCAAGGTGATGGTATCATTCTCCCTTGTCCACTTGTGATACCAGCTTTATGGACATTGGAGGACCTAGGCCTTTATCCAGTGTGATTGCACTAATTTCCATTCTCATAGTGCTTAGGGCTTAGCTAAGAAGAGGTGCCACTGGACGACTCAATGCATTTCGAAATGTCACAAGACCATTGCTCCTCTGAAGAGGTTAGTCCCAAACAGGAAAAGCAGACAGCAAGGTAGGTGAGAGAAACCAAAAATCAAAGCAAAAGAGTGAGTGGAAACATCAGTGAGTTCTGCGATTTTTCTCTGTAGATTTGCAGGAAGTCTTGGAAGATCCTTGCACCTTGTGTGTGTGACTCATTACCCCCTTGTATTTGTGATCTGCATGCCCTTGCTATGGAGGACTCGTCGTTTGGGTTGCCCTTGTGCCTGGAGGCCAGACAAGTCCAGCAGCCCTGCTGTGCTACACAGCAGAAAGTCTACCTGGAGCTATATCTCACCCAAGGTGCTGATACTGCACTTGACAGGGGACACAAGGGCATTTCAGTTCTTCCTTGCTGTCAACACGAAAAGTCCCGGATGACCATAAATTACCTGGCTATGTCCAATCTGGTGCAGGACAGGAGTACAGAAGATATCTTTAAGGTAGGGAATGGTTTCAGTGAGGCAGCAAGTCCTGATAAAACCTGCATACAGGTGAGGGAATCTCTGAGCCAATGGCAAGTTGGTCACTGCTGCTTGGCATTAGCTCATCATGAGATCTCAGGTCACGGAAAAACTGCTATCGTATTACCTGAGCTGCGACCAGGCTGCCTTACTGTCACACGGATGCTTTCTCCCCACTGGCTGGCTCTGACATATTCAGCCCCAGGAGCCCTTGACTGAGCCTGCTCCAAGGTGTGCGTTGGCAGTCATTTTGCAAACAGAAGCTGCACGCCAGCTTGGAGAGGAAGCTCCCTGCTTTGCCACTGTACTTGAGGCCTGAGAGCTCCTGACTGTCTGATGGGAAGGGAGATGGGAAACCAGCCAGTGACAACTCGGCCACGAGAAATTCCCGACTGGCCCTGGCTGCACTTCGCCTCTTTGGGCCTCGTGGTGAGAGAACAACAGGACTGTTCAAATTGTTTCCTCTCTGTCATTTGTACGTATTGCAGAGGCTGAATGTTGTTCAAAGAAAGTCTGCACCAGAGGCATACCTGACAGACCCCAGGCAAGGTAGTCTTGCCCCACGGGCTGCATAGTCTAGACTGGGGAAAGACAAACAGCATTCCTCATGCGGAGAAAAAGGCAGAACTTGTGCTTTAAATGAAAAACAAACACTGGTGCTAGTGCTCTGCAGCATCTGTATTCTTCAGAGCACTTCCCCAACTGCCACTTCCCCAAAATGCTCTGTTTCCCTCCCACTTATAAAGTTCTTGTGGCACACAGTGCTGTGTTCAG